CTTGAAGGGGATGGGAATGATACGGAAGTGGTTAGGCAGCTCAAGAACGCCGAAAGGCACGCCTATCACGCACGCAAGAGGATGGCGCGGGCTACTAGTGAGACGCACGTCCTGGAGCAGACTGTGCGCAGAAAGCGCGAGAGTGGCTAAACAACAGGCAAGGACGGATGCAGGCAGCTGGCGTGCGAGACGGGCGAGCAGGTGACCGCTGGCGTAGGCGCGCTGTACGCGCGGGCGACGGGCACAGCGATCGCGGGCACAGGGGATGCGCGGGACAAAGGGGCACGCGCGGGACTTGAAGCCTTATTCCTCGAGGCGAGCAGTAAGGCACGCAAGGCCCCAATCAGAGAGGAATACAGGCAAACGAACGATGCAAGTGACGCGCGCGAGGGAACCGCGACACGCGAGGACGTGCGTGACACGGCAGGCGGGTGCACACGCGCGCGCTAAGGCGGCGCGCCCTAGTGCAGCAAGGACTAGGCAACGCATGATGGCGGTTGGCGCGAGGAGGTGCGAGAGGCGACCGAACGTGTGAAGTAAAGAGAGAGAGTTACTTGGTGTGCAAGCCAAGTTATTTAGTTCCATCTAGCTTTATGATTTCTAGCTTAATTAGGATACTTAATATTTTATTGAATTATTAGTTCCCTAGGTAGTTTAGGACCATATATATTTTGTGCCTATATAAAGGCCCTTCCTCATGTTATTTTTCATCATTCAGTTTATCAATAAAAAATCCGAACTTCTATTCAAACACTTTGTCTTAGATTTCTTTTAGATTTCTATTGCAATTTTATTTGTTTCAATAGGCACGGTTGTGGCTAGAGAAACACCTATCGGCGATTCAAGGCGCGGATTCGTGACTTATTGGCAATCGGAACACACGATCTTCATCACTGCTGTTTCCCGCGCTGCTGCTGTTGGGGTTGTCTCGGTGGCTGTTGCCTGGGTTGCTATTCTTGTTGAGGTTGCTGTGGTTGCGATTACTGTTGCTGTCGTGCTGGACAGTTGGCACGGGTATGTCCGGGCTGTCGGCAGTAAAAACAAATGTTCTGGCCCACAAGGCATTCTCCGCGGTGAAACTGTCTACATGTGGGGCAAGCTGGTATGGGCTGCTGCTGTCTCTGGCGGTTCCTATGGTCGTCTGGGCCTCCTCTAAACTTCTTCTTGTTCTTGTTCCTTGGTTGTTGGGCAGCTATTGGCTGGGCAAGTGGTTGGGCTACTGGTTGAGCTGGAATTGTATGGCTTCCCTCCGGATACTGGCATCAATCTCCTAGGCTCTGGACGGTATCGGCATAGGTCTGAAAACCGTGACCAACGATGTTGTGACGAACTACTGGCAGAAGTCCGTCGATGAAACGTCTCGATCTCTTCTCTTCCGAACCCAATAACTTGGGAACGAAGAAGCCGAGTCGAGTGAACTCACGCTCGTACTCATCCACAGAACGGGTACCCTGTTTAAGCGCCAAGAACTGACGCTCGAGCTCTGCGCAATAATAAACTGGATAATACTTTTTGCGCAATATTACCTTGAATCGGTCCCACGTACACTGCTCCTTCTCGCCGGGACGCATTCCCCAGTAGGCATTTCACCAGAGGCGTGCATCTCCAGTCACCTGGATCTGGGCGCAGAGTACGCGGTAACGATCTGGATAGTCCATGACCTCAAAAATCATATCGAGGCCCTGGATCCACTCATCGACAAGTCAGGGATCTTCCTGACCGGAAAATTTCTCTACATGATAGTCGCGGAACTGGGCGACTATCGTGGCCTGGGGGACCTCCTGGTGATTTGGATCTCTGCGAGGCGGCATCTGAATATTGAAAAGTTCAATATGATTAATAACATAATATATTAATTGACTGATTAGGCATACAAATCTCTTGAAGAGATGCTAAATTAACCCGAGAAAACTAGAGTCGAATCATTAAATAACAGGGATAATCGACTATATTCTGGAAATTACTCCATGACTAACTCGAGCATTTTACTGGGTTCTAGGGTTAAATATCTGGTACCCTCTACTGAGCATAGACTTAAGCATTCGTTTAAATATATAAACATGTATCTCAGCACTTACCTGGTAGTCGGCGAGGCGTGAGCGTGGCGTGGTCGGGTTTTTTTTAAAATTTTATAACTTTATAAAGTATTCAGATACACAAAAACGTGCTCTGATACCATTTGTAACACCCCGCTAACTTATTAAAATCAGAGACAAATTTTTGCAAAACTTATCTGAAATAATACTCATTGACTTGCGAAATCATGATTCGAGATGCTACTGAGAAACCTTTCTTTTATGAAAATCCATTATCTTTTCTAACTTAAACTTATTAAGAAAATAGATTATTTCTAGTCAAACAAGCATGAAAAACTGTATAAAATCCGAATATTAACAAATCGGATCAAAGCCTGAACATTAACATGCGAGTTCGAAAACCTGAAAGTGTCAGCGGAAGTTCAAAACGTGGCAAAATAAATATATGCATGTCCAAGAGTCTGTAATCGGCATATAAGCAAACCCACGACCACCAGCGCAGCTCACTCCTCAGGACCAACCCTGTGACCTGAAAAAGATAATATAGTGGGGGCATGAGCACTAAAGCCATTGTGCTCCGCAGAAACTCATACTGAAATAAAACAGTAATAATAATTGCAATATCAT